ACTGTATCAAAACTCACATGAGCTTTTAAACTGTCTAAGAATGACAGGAATTAATTAAAAAGAAGTTAAAATGCAGATGATTGATACTTTCAGAGTTTAAATATTTCATTGCTGTGGTTGATTTTAATACTTTTTTTGTTGCAAATAGCTTGTTTCAGAAGTAGGTAGCATGAACAAAGAGGGCACAAACTGGTGTCCCATTATTTAGATATGTTTACTAAACATTATCCAACCTTAAAGTAACATATAATGAAAAGTAGCCTCCCACACCACCACCCATTAAAATATTGGTCCTGAGTAAAATGCTGGTCTTTAGCTCTGTTGTAGCTCATCCTGTAGAGTGTGTGCTAGTAATGCCAGGGTAAGGGAGGGCAAAAGCAAGAAATTATGTTTTATTAACAAAGTTCAGGAGGAGCACGTTCAGATAATTAACCTAATTAACATGAGAGGAGCACAATCAGTAATCAACCCAATTAACAAGATAAGAAGTGTGTATATATACACAGCAGACTTACCTCTGTTCCTTGACAGTTTTCCAGCATCCCTCCCCCACCCCTTCTCCGCACTTACAACTATTCCTGTCCTAACCTGTAGGGGGGTACTCTGGGTTCGGGCCAAAATTCAGAGCTCAGAGCCCTCCCCTCGGACAGCACGCCAAATACACATAACCTTTACTCTGTTTATTATATGTAAGTGTGAACTCGTGAACTGATAAAAAGGGAGAACTCTACACCAGAGAAAGCAAGAACTGATAAAATGTGTACCTTGAAAGCAATGGATGCCAAATGCATAAATGTAATGTCTTGAGCTTTTTGATGGTATTCAACATTTTTGTAGTGACCTAAAATTCTTTAGCTGCATTTCCACAATTTGCTACCCTATTAAAAAAAACAGGGTTTTAGGATATTGATACAAGTCCTACATTTTGGAAACAGCAAATATACTTTTAGGAAGTGAGTATCTGAATGCTCAAAAGTGACACCTAAAAAGAATCATGAAAACTGATCAACTACACAAAAATGTTAAAAGCAGCCTCATTTTAATTTTGTCATTGGTTTTATGGTGTTATTTTTGCATTTCATTGCGGTCTAATTTTTGGGATTTGCCCCAATACACTGCCTTACAGTCTGGGGCAGCAATTTATACCATAAAAACTGTATTCACCTATCACACAAAACTTCACACAACTACCCATCACACAGAACTTTCTGCATTTTTAGATTTTCATCTGATTTAAAAGCTTGTTTCCTCATAAGGACCAAAGAATGTCCCCACAAGGTCAAACTGTATTTGTGGGTACACTTGGTGCCCATAACATAGGGAATAGTAGGTACACACACACTCACACAAAGGATGTGTTCTTCCTTTCATACAGCTAGACTAAATAGAACAAAACATCTTGAGACAGGGTTTTTAAAATAACTATTTTTAACTTGATTTTTTAAACTTGATACCTCATGTTTTGAATTCACTGTTGTTGTTTTTTGGCCCCCATATCGATAGATAGATGATAGATAGATAGATAGATAGATAGATAGATAGATAGATAGATATTTACATTTAGTCATTTAGCAGATAGAGGGTCAAGAGGGTCAATTCTTTATTTATTTATTATTTGTATAAATAAAAAGAAAACAAGTAGATGGAATAGAAATAGAATAGAGAGTTCTACTGTTAGAGGGTCAAGTATAGATGGAAGAGATGTGTTTTTAGCTGTTTCTTGAAGATGGCTAAGGACTCAGCTGCTCAGATTGAGTTGGCCAGAGGGGACAGCGGCAAGGAACCGAAACTCCATCGGTGACAGAATGGAGAAACCAGACTCAGTCAGGGGGCCAGTTCTCCTCTGGCAAGACGAAATCAGCAGTTCAGTTCCAGGCTGCAGCAAAGTCACATTGTACAGAGGACTCAACTGGTTCCTGTGGTCTTGTCACAGTGGCCGTCTAGGAGACAAGGTCTTCACTGGGGATCTGTCTCTAGGGCTCATCTAGTTGTTCTGGTCTCCGCTGACATTCAGGGCTGTCGAGGTCATCTCTTGTGGCTCATGTTCATAACCGTAATCTTGGGGGGATAGACTCGTTTAAAATAATGTAATCATCAGGTTTTACCCAGGTTTCTTTCACACAGAGCACATCTAGGTTATGATCAGTGATCATATCACTTACAAAAAGTGCTTTCGTAGAAAGGGACCTGATAAAGCTTGGCTTATTGAATA